GAAAACATAATACACAACATCTGAAACCACCATAAACAGGTAATGTCCAAATGGATAATATTAACAGGGGGGCAAGCAGAAGGTCCCAGATTTGATCGACCATTCCATCTCAGGACAAGACACTTGAAGACAACAGCAGATTATCAGTTAACAGAATTAGTTAACTAACAACGAATGACAGTGATTCTATCTACACACTGAACTGGACATCAGACATTTCTCCACCCTTGATTTCATCTAATACTATATACAGAATTAGTTAACTAACAACGTATGACAGTGAATCTATCTACACACTGAACTCACATCAGACATTTCTCCACCCTTGATTTCATCTATTACTATATACATTTCTTTAAACCTGGATTACAATTAAAACTGTTATAATGTTACAAAATTAACAGCCATCTATTTACCTGAAGAGTTATACTAACATTTTGTAATTATTTTGTAAGATAGGTGTGTGTGTGATACCAGTATATTCAAATCTATCATTTATGAAGCTAACTATAAAGACAAACGAAGGGCATTATTATGTTAAATATTTGCTGATTAGATTCATTTAACTTACCAATACATGTAAACATTAAAATACTTGTTCATACATTTGAAAATGTTACAAGATAGATTAAAATTATCTATCTGGATAATTATTCTGTCACTCAGATACACATGATACTAATATTTGCAAATATCTAAAATCATCTCAAACAAGGAGAAAGTATCAATGTAAACTGTTTTATTGAAACTGACATATAGCTTCTACCATATTTCCATTTAGTAACATTAGAGTCTGTAGAAGGAAGACAGAAAGTAAAGCCACATAAAAAACAAACAACATGCAAAGTAATGTTTAAATATACAGCAACAATGGAATATTGGTTCAGTACAGAGTCTTTAATTACTTAAAGCAATACAGTACAGAGAAGTAACTGTAGGTGGAGAAGTTACCAGATGCCAAGACCACACCTCTCACACTTTTAGTCCCGATAAGGACTGGGCAGCCAGGAACAAATAGTTGAACTTTTAGAACTTGTCAAAAAAACATAAACAAGTTGATTCTATTATTAAAGAAATATGAACAACAGTAAATAGAAATAATGAATTACTAATTTATATAAACTAATAAGGTCATGTTATCAAGGGAGTTTCTACTGGGATGGTGGTGGTGGTGGTGGTGTGGGAGTAGAATCCCCCAACAGAGAGTCTCTCCCATCCAAGATAAGATTTAATCTTTAAAGATTTAAGTTCTTCGTACATTGTAACACAAACTAACATAAAAATGTTTTTTTTTTCTGTTTTGTTTGGATGGGGTAGTAATACTTGAACCATTTAGATGGGACCTGTGGATGTGTGTGGGTTAGTGGTAGTTTGAAACAGCATCAGACCACTGAAAAACTGTGCAAAGACAAACTAAAATAATTTTGATAGTCCTGATACACCCATTCTTCCACCAACTAATTGTTTGTCTCCCTTCTCAAGAAGACAGACTAATGTTCTGTTGAAACATGTAGTATGTTCTCTGAATAAAATATTTTTTTATTTTTACTTATAAGTCATTGTTTGTCAATTTACTGTTGTATTAGCATAATGTGCTTCCATACACAAGTATTAATACTTATCAATAGCACTACTTCACAAGTGGTTTGTATTAATAATCTTAGTGACACAAGTTAATAGTTTTCAATGACTTAATTTCACAAATAGTCAACATTAATAAGTAATATATATACTGGCACATCATCATCAAACTGTATGGCTAATGGAAATGATAACTGAATTATAATAGGTTATAGACACCAATATATAAATATCCATATCAAGACAGTTGTCTAAAATCATCAAATAATACATAGTTTGTTGTCAAGTAAACAAATTAAGTATGGCAAGTAGTGTCAATATCTATAAACTCTTACTTATTTCAACATAGGAAGTGTTGGAAAGTAGTGTAAATATCTATAAACTCTTACTTATTTCAACATAGGAAGTGTTGACAAGTAGTGTCAATATCTATAAACTCTTACTTATTTCAACACAGGAAGTGTTGGCAAGTAGTGTCAATATCTATAAATTCTTACTTATTTCAACACAGGAAGTTTTGGCAAGTAGTGTCAATATCTATAAATTCTTACTTATTTCAACACAGGAAGTGTTGGCAAGTAGTGTCAATATCTATAAACTCTTACTTATTTCAACACAGGAAGTGTTGGCAAGTAGTGTCAATATCTATAAACTCTTACTTATTTCAACACAGGAAGTGTTGGGAAGTAGTGTCAATATCTATAAACTACTTACTTATTTCTAACATAGGAAGTAGTTGGCAAGTAGTGTCAATATCTATAAACTCTTACTTATTTCAACACAGGAAGTAGTTGGCAAGTAGTATCAATATCTATAAACTCTTACTTATTTCAACATAGGAAGTGTTGGCAAGTAGTGTCAATGTCTATAAATTCTTACTTATTTCAACACAGGAAGTGTTGGCAA